GTTGGTTGAATGTTTTTATTCACACAAATACTTTTGAAATGACAAATATTTTCCATAGTTTTCTTATTATTTGTTAAAGATATTTTGCCCTTATTTAGGGTAGAGTGGAGAACGTTTATTGCAAAATCAAATTTAATTTTCAGATGTTATATGTGTATAAAAATAGTTTTTATGATACTATATGTTCAGTCATTTATATGATATTATATATGTAGAAAATTTTGTTTTTAGGATATTTTAGGTGCAGAAAAAAATAGTTTATACATGTAGAAAAACATATTTTTTTTCAATGTGCAGAAAAAATTTAATACAATGCAAACTTCCTCCTTTTCTCTTTAATGGCTTCTATTCAATACATTTTTATGTATACATTTCTAAGTTGATTGAAATTCCAAAATATAGATTTTTAAAAGTTTAAATTTTTTTATTAACACTTTGTATTAAATAATTTTTTTTATCTCAGATACATATGGCTATTAAAATTGCATGTGTATGTACCAAGTTACTGCTTGGTCACACTCCATTTTCTTTGTGTTGTGTTCACTTTCTCATCTCATGGAGGCCTATTTATTTGATATATTTTAAATGTTTGTTTATTGAGTCAATTTAAAATGTGTATTTGGTTTGACATCCTCTTTCTTCCAGCAGCCATTGACAAAGACAACCATGATTTTCCAGCAGGCATTACATTGGACTTTTTTGATATATTTTAAATGTTTGTTTATTGAGTCAATTTAAAATGTGTATTTGGTTTGACATCCTCTTTCTTCCAGCAGCCATTGACAAAGACAACCATGATTTTCCAGCAGGCATTACATTGGACTTGGGGGTTTGTGTTCATTTATGATTAATTTGATACAAATTCAGGGTAAGCTTGTCTCATAACTGTACAAGGGAAATAATGGGGTTACTGCTTTACTTAACAATTTAATTGTAAAATGGAACATAATAAATCTCATTTTAAAAGATATACATTTGCTTTGTTCTTATTGGACCCATGTTGTGTTTGTTTGGGGTGGGTTGCTTCCCTTTGTTCGGTTGTCTCCCCTTTTTCGATTTTTCATTTGTTCTTAGTTGGGATTTGTTCAGTTTCTTCTTTCTATCGTTTCTTCTTTCTATCGGGGATGTTCTTTCCCCCCGGGGATCTTCTTTCCCCCTGGGTCGCACTTGTGCGTTTTATTTAAGTGTGATGGAATTCGGGCCTGGTTTTTTTTGATTTTGTTTTGCCCTTATATTTCCATCCACCCCGACCACCATCCCCGAAAATTTTTAACTTATATTAAAAAGGTGGACAATTTGGATAGGTGTTTCAAAATTTACATATACAAATTTCAATTTCTCATATAAAAATAACAAAAGCATGTTTATGTGCTATTGTTTATAGCAGTCACATAAAACATATCTATGTTCATTATAATATACTCGGAATATGTTAATTGCATTAGCCTTTCTATTATACATGTATATAAAGTTTATTAAATATACGGTTGTGTTATCTTTCTTTTTCCATGCCCTTTTTATTGCCCCTGGTTTTCATCATCACAAAGTTCTAAAACTGTGATATCAAATAGAATCACTGATTTCGACACAAACACGTTTCATGATATGAACTTGGTC